CTGGATGCTATTTAATTATTTAAAATAATTTTATTACGTGTTTTAGGACATTTTACGTAATACTACTATGCTACTATAGAACATGGTAGCGCTTACTATGTTACCATAGTTGCATAGTGACATAGTTGGTAAGCGTTACTGTCACATAATAAAGCTGACTATCTTATATAGTTAAGCCTACTATGTAACGTAGTAGTTATTGCTACGTCCATAGTACCTATTACCATTAAGGAGATTGCTCTACCCCATAGTAACCGTTATGACGTTAGAATAATTTCATTATGTGTTATGGGAACTCCACTATGTAACATAGTAATGCTTACTATATTAACGTAGTAACTATGTGACATAGTTACATAGTAAGCGTAACTATGTTACATAGTAATAATTGTAACATAGTAGTAATTATATCATTACTATGTAACATAGTTACGCTTACTATGTAACTATGTCACATAGTTACTACGTTAATATAGTAAGCATTACTATGTTACATAGTAGAGTTCCCATAACACATAATGAAATTATTCTAATGTCATAACGGTTACTATGGAGTAGAGCAATCTCCTTAATGGTAATAGGTACTATGGACGTAGCAATAACTACTACGTTACATAGTAGGCTTAACTATATAAGATAGTCAGCTTTATTATGTGACAGTAACGCTTACCAACTATGTCACTATGCAACTATGGTAACATAGTAAGCGCTACCATGTTCTATAGTAGCATAGTAGTATTACGTAAAATGTCCTAAAACACGTAATAAAATTATTTTAAATAATTAAATAGCATCCAGGAATGAAAAAGGAGTAGATCAATGTCAGAGACAAACAAATCGTTAATTCAAGAACGAGAATTTTCTTATTGTAAGAAAATTCATCTAGAAAAGAAATTAAGTTTCTGCATGAAATAATAGATTCATTCAGAGAGCTCCTAATAAAGCCCATTAGAACCTAAATTGAATTTGCCGCTGCGTTTTCATTCATATCAAATAAATAGTTTTATAAATGTAAACTAATGCTTTCTTCATACAAGTAAAGACTTTATTAGTTAGAAATGTAGAATCATTGTTTAGATGGCGAAGGATAGTGAATTTATTGATGTCTAATAATTCTCAGTTTGAATCAAATACATTGTTTATTCATTTCCAATTGATTATCTACTTCTAATGAATGTACTATTGATTCCATATAATTGAAGCTTTATTATTTAAATAAATATATAAATTTTGAACAAAAATATTGTAGAATTTAAAAGAAAAATTTCAAATAAAGAGTTTAATTTGTTCAATTTTTTTAAAGAGTTTAAGCCTTAAGCTGATTGAACTTATAAACGCATCAAGAGGCAATCGCGAATTTCAACCGGTTATTTTAGAGATACTTCCTATGTTTATAGGACCATATTCCATTCACATGATAACCATAACTATGGACATGGTAGGCGTTCCTGTGTAACATAGAAACCATTACCATGGGACATAATAAGCATTACTATGGGACATAGTAAGTATTACTATGGGGTATAGTAAGTATTACTATGGGGCATAGTAAGTATTACTATGGGGCATAGTAAGCATTACTATGGGGCATAGTAAGCATTACTATGGGGCATAGTAAGCATTACTATGGGGCATAGTAAGCATTACTATGGGGCATAGTAAGCATTACTATGGGGCATAGTAAGCATTACTATGGGGCATAGTAAGCATTACTATGGGGCATAGTAAGCATTACTATGGGGCATAGTAAGCATTACTATGGGGCATAGTAAGCATTACTATGGGGCATAGTAAGCATTACTATGGGGCATAGTAAGCATTACTATGGGGCATAGTAAGCATTACTATGGGGCATAGTAAGCATTACTATGGGGCATAGTAAGCATTACTATGGGGCATAGTAAGCATTACTATGGGGCATAGTAAGCATTACTATGGGGCATAGTAAGCATTACTATGGGGCATAGTAAGCATTACTATGGGGCATAGTAAGCATTACTATGGGGCATAGTAAGCATTACTATGGGGCATAGTAAGCATTACTATGGGGCATAGTAAGCATTACTATGGGGCATAGTAAGCATTACTATGGGGCATAGTAAGCATTACTATGGGGCATAGTAAGCATTACTATGGGGCATAGTAAGCATTACTATGGGGCATAGTAAGCATTACTATGGGGCATAGTAAGCATTACTATGGGGCATAGTAAACATTACCATGTGACATGGTAAGCATTACCGTGGAACATAGTAAGGACTACTATGTAGGGATAGTTGAAAGCTCTTTTACTATGTTTCCATAGTAATCTCTCTTAGTAATCTCTTACTACTTAATTCTCTCTGTGTATGCAGCGAGATTAAAGCTACACAGACAATCGTCATCAATACTTTGCTATATCTCTTATATTTGAATGTATTCATGAACGAATAAATTGTGAAGTGAACGTATCCAATTTCATTTTTGGTCAAATATTAGCGCGAAATAGATTTCATGAATTCAAGATATTCATCGAAAATTAATTTTCAAGTGGACTCAGCTTATTTGATCACTTGATTATTAGACCCTAGCAAGTAAGACGGGTTTTTGCGACGCTGAAATGCGAAATGTTCATAAGAACATTCATTGCTTCTTGAAATTAAAACTACAAATTAGATGCTTATCAATATTCCCCTACCTCCCTTAGATTCGAATAAATTTCTCAGGGTAGGTCATGAAACACAGTGGGCCGTAAAATACTTCACTTTTTCATGACCTATCCCATTCCACCCTTTCGCTACAGAATACCGAAATTAGTTCGGGGGAAAGTAGGAAGGAAGCAACGAAAATTTCTCCATCTCCTTTGGGTTCGTCGATGTTCACCAAAGGAAAATTAGCTGAAATGTTCAGCGAAGCGATGCAATTAGGGCAAATTAACGAACGTTGTAATATATATATCCCCAATTTTTCCCTCGATTTCCAACCGAATATCTGGTTCCCCCAAAAATTTAGAAAATAAATTAATTCCGTTTTCTCATTTCTCCGTTAATTCTCGAAGTCAATTCTATTCTTGAAAAATTTATTAACATTACAACACGTACGAAAAAATTCAATATATTGAAAAACTCCATCATTACACTGAAATTTCATGGACACATTTCATTTCATGAAAAAATTCATGAAATTCTATTGATCCCTTAAAAGAAAATTTCAAACAAAAATGAAGAAAAAAGACGTTCGAACTTTTAAGACCATATTTAGTTACAATAACAGAAAACAAGTGGCCCATTGCATAAGGCTAAATTAAGTATAGATTTTACCAAAAATTTCCAATTTGCTTCCGAATGGATTAATCGAATCGAAACAAAAAAGTGCATATTCGTTTTTTTGTCATTAATTGCAGATTATTAGGAATCCTTCCTGAAGTTTAACCTCAGGAAAATTCGATAGTTTTTTATTACAGACAATTTAAGTAAAATTTTTTAGTGAACTGAACTTATTTCAAATTAGACAGATTGAGTGAAAACAAAATGAATATAAAATTTGATATCACAAGAGTTTATACTCCTGATACATGAATGTTGATGTCTCCTCCGTCGTAAGTAAGTTATTTAAATTTTATTTTTCTCCTGAATAGTTTTCTTTAAACTCGACTTAAGACCAGTATAATTTTTTTTGCTAATGAATTAGCAATTTGTTTCTGAATGGTAAATTGGGGAAGAAGATATAGCAGCCATGAAACTTTTATATGATCCCAAAATGTCCCAAATGTCCAACATGATCTCCATATGCCCTAGTTAAACATCTAACAAACGCCGACTAAATTGAAATTAAACTCGTTTAAACTTCCACTGAACGTTGATTAAACCTTGATGAAAGCTTGGTTAAACCCTGATTAACCTCCGACTAAACACCGACTAAATCCCGACTAGCCCTTGATTGAACCCCGATTAAATGCTTTTTAAGGCTATAATTCCAAATAAAATTCTGCGATCGCCACTATCTTCGAACTCGACCGAGATAACATCTAAACGAATATTTTAAGCCATAAAATTGAAAAGATTTCGATGATTATTCTACAATGATCGTCGAAAAACTAAATTTGAAAAAAAATCTCACACACGTTCATCGGTCATGATCTAAAAACAGCATATTCGAACTCCTGAGACCAAAACTAGTCATCCTCACCCAAAAAATTGAACTTTCAGATTTCACCACGGATGCAAAAATTTAATAGAAAAACCTATCGAATTTGTTAGAAAATTCTATTGAATTTCTATTGAACTATTCTATTAGTTTTTGGCCGATTCGATTGAAATGTTCAATAGGAAATATTCAGTAGAGAAAGTCAGTAGAATTCAATTTTTCTATATAACTTATTCTATTGAGATATTTTCTATAGAATTCCCTCGGTTCAAATGTTCCAAGTTTTTTCGTTTGATTTTCTTGATGAGAAGAAAAGAAAAACAGAATGAAAAACACTTAGAAAATTTGAGTCGAGCAAATTTTATAGAAAATATATGAAAAGAATAAGTTATATAGAAAAATCGAATTCTGTTGACTTTTTCTATTGAACGTTTTCTATTGAACATGTCAACAAAATCAGCCAAAAACTAATAGAAAATTTAATAGAAATTCAATACAATTTTCTACCGAATTCGATAGGTTTCTCTATTAAATTTTTTCGTGCGTGACAAATACAAGCTTCGATTCGGAAGTAAAAATAGAAACTTAAATTGAGCGATTACCATCGTCCGTTCGGCAGCAATAATAGAACTTCCAATATAAATCCACTAAAAGTTTCCATATAATTCACAAAATTGTTCTACGAACTGTTCCTACGAAGTCCCCACCTCCCTCAACAATTCACAAAAACCCCAATAAAATTCGCCTCATCTCCTTCCACCCACCCCCCAGAAAACGCAAAACCCTTTATTTACTTGGTTGAACGAATCTCCGCCGCCGTGTGGGTGGTGGGGGCGTCGGAGGTCTGGATTGAGCGTGTGGTGGTGGTCCTTTAAACCCCCTCGGACGAAACGGCGAAGCCCTCCCCGTCCTAATCCCCCTGCTAGGTGACAACGGACTCCTAGATCTTCCCGATCTCGTGCGTCCCCCGTGAATCGGCGAATCACTCGGCGATTTGGTTTCCCCCTCATCAGTCTCAGCGAGTATAACAAAACTCGATTTTCTGTGTGCACGTGCCATCGTCGACGATGCGAGCTTGTATGGCTCGGGTGCCCTGGGTGGCTCTGGTGGCTCATAATTAACTACACTTAAATAGTAGTTGTTGATGTTGGCACTATCTAGCAACCGGAAGCCCACGTCTGTCTCCGGTCTCGTGCGATTTCTCCGTGACTTTGTTGTCATTCTGTACTTGCACGAATATTTATTGTAGCTACACCCGTGCACTCAATTTACATTTTGCATTTGAAAAAAGAATTCGTAATTAAAGCTGCCAACTCCCTCTCACTCCTCATTTTCTCCTCTTCATTATTTTATTTTTAGACATTACGTACCTGCTCCACTAGCACAGTATAACGCACCATAGAAATTTCTTAGTTAATTAGAAATGTTGCACTTGCATTCGAAATTCATGTCAATAGGGGTAAAAAAATAAATGTTCTCCCGCTGATACAACTAGTGTCACCGTTTATGAATGAAGTGTATGGGGAGGAATAAGTGAATTCAGTCCCGTCCACCCAACTTGGTCAGACGTTCTGACCGTTCTGAGGCGCCTGCTTGACCGTTTCAGGTGGTTCTGACTGACCGACGATTCACCGACGGCCACCGCCACTCGCCGACGAGACTGCGGCTCATGTTCGGCATTATGTACTACCTAACGACTCTATTATTCATAAATGCAGGAAATTCCACAAAAATACGGAAATAATTTTTTTTTTCAATGCTATCCACTGATTTCTTCTACAACTCAATCGACGAGACACTCTGGTACTAGTATTTCGGAGATTATTGTGTCTGGGGATAGCTGATTCAACTGTCTTCACGCTTCTTGCTGCACTGATGATGTTAATGACACGATACTCTTCTTTTTGTTAGGCCTCGATGAACAACAGGAGCAGTGGAAAATCAACCAAATGGAGAATACGGGTGTTGAAGAATCTGGGTCGTTACTCACCGGGTTTTTTATCCCACTGAATTGATCTGGTACTCAGGTACATTCTACCAATTATCGGAACATTAGCTTGATTGGAAGGAAAACTGGGCAGGGCCATATTTCTTCCTATCATCCAGCTAACTATCGCCAATATCTGACCTTTAAACTGCTGGTTTTATTGTTAACAGCAATGCCACTGGCAGTACTCAAGGCATTTATCATATTGCACGCACGAAAAAATTTTGTAGACAAAATTGTGAATTGGATAAAAAATTCTATAGGATTTTTATTGAAATTCTATTCGTTTTTTGGGCATTCCCTTTTTAGAAAATCAATGTAACGTTTTTGTCACCGATCTATTCGGCTGTAATTTAGCTTTATTTATCGCTTTTAAGGAGGGGTTCACCCCGGGAAAAAACTTTTTCGTTTTTCGAGAAAAAATTTAAAATACCACGCGCGATTTTTCCTCAGGAATCCGATTTTGTAGGTCATAATTGTCTACTGCCACTCAAAAGTAAAGAATCGAATTTCTTTGAATCGAAAAATCAACTTGACAAAAATTCCCAACGTATTTTTTTTCGAAATTGTTTTTGGAATATGATCTGAAATTTTCGCTCCTTTATTATGAAAAATGCGGGAGAAGATGCATTTTTTAGTTTGTTTGTCAAATTTTCATTAATATCGGAAGAAAAAAAATTTCTTACCCAAATATTATGTGTAAACTTAATTTATGATTCCGAACTCGATATTTACAGGTCCCCATGCATCCACGGACGAAAAAATTCAATAGAAAAACCGATAGAATTCGTTATAAAATTCTATTGAATTTCTGTTGAACTGTTCAATAGAAAATATTCAGTAGAAAAAGACAATAGAATTCAATTTTTCTATCTAACTTATTCTATTGAGATATTTTCTATAGAATTTCCTCGCCTCAAATTTTCTAAGTTTTTTGTTAAAAAAATAGAATTTAAAAAACTTAGAAAATTTAAGTTGAGCAAATTCTATAAAAAATATAGGAAAAGAATAAGTTATATAGAAAGATCGAATTCTGTTGACTTTTTCTATTGAATGTTTTCTATTGAACATGTCAATAGAATCAGCCAAAAGCTAATAGAAAGTTTAATAGAAATTCAATAGAATTTTCTAACGAATTCGATAGGTTTTTCTATTAAATTTTTTCATGCGTGTCTACCTAGCTTTTATTTACTCCATAGTTGAGAGGGCTCCTCCCAGGAATCCAGAATCTGTTTTGATTCATTTCCCACTCTTTTGTGGAAATTCACTCATTCTAATTCACACTTATAACTCATTTTTGAAAATATAATCGATCCATTGCACGGAGAGAAATGTTCAGTAAAAATTACGGAAATCACAGTTCGCTCATCGATTATAGAATCGACTCAGAAAATTTAAGTGACGGTATCGTAATTTCTCACGGGAGATTCAGGTAAAAATTACGGAATGCTCTGGAAAAATTCCGTGACAGTTGCGTAAAATTTCCTGCAACCACAGTGCGCTCCGGAATTACGGAAACGATACGTCATTTTTATTGAATATTTCTCTCCGTGTGAAAATAACGACTTTTTTCAGGTTGACCAGTGGACTTCCAAATCTCCCGTATTTTTCATAATTAAGGAGCAAAAATTGCGGAATCGCAATTTATTCTTGAAACTGGTATTATATAAATATGTAATATTCTGTAAATATCCAATGTGTTCTTTTGATCCTGTAATTGGCCTGTGGGCTGTTGGGTCTGATTACAGCAATAAATAAATAAATAAATGAATAATGAGTTTTTCCCGAAGTGAACCTCCCCTTAATATAGCCATATTTATAGTTGTAGATACCTATGGTTGTGAATAGTTATACATAACTATAACTATTAGACATAACTATTATTATAATAGTGATGTATAACTATTATACATGGCAATATACTAATTATTATAACTATAGTTATAATAATAGTTAAAATAGTTAATAGTTATAGTTATGTGTAAGTATTATTATACTAGTATTATACTAGTATTTATAACTATAGTTCCAAATATTTATAGGAATACTTATAAATATCGTTAACTAAAATCATTTCTACAGCTATAAATATGGCTAGATCTATATATATGCCGGTACGCTGTGTTTGATGTGTAAACATAGCGTACGTTGGATAGTGATAAACCTCGCGCCAATTATTTTTATCGTTAATTTATTCAACAAATTAACGGCAAAACTCGATGAGACTTCATGCCCGTATTTTTCAGAGTTTAATATAGATAAATACACCTTTCAAGTCTTTGGACCTCATTAGAAGGGAAAAAGGCTTCGAGCTAGGGCAACATGCTACACCTTACGTAGCTTTGTACTTTGTTTTTTGTAATTGTACCTCGACATACAATAAACATAAACACGGTAAATTATTAGGTTGAATCAGTTTGTTAACTATTTTCGCAAGAAATATGTGCAGAACATATGTAAAGTATTAAGATTAATTTTAGGATGATGGCTGTGTGTTCATGTTCTTGTTATGAACTTGTTTATGAACTTTTTGAATTTTATACAATGGACAGTGTATATTGATATTTCAAGGGGAACTGGGAAGAGTATAACATGCAAAAACCCGAGAGGGTATGCATACTGAAATAAATAAATAAATATAGATAAATATAGCTTCTTTTGTTGGCAAACACATTAATTGTCAACCGGATGAGGGGTAAGGGACAAAATAGCGTTCGTAAAGCCCATGTATAAGCAGAAATTTGAATGATTAATTAAAAACGAACGAAACGATAACACTACTCAGTTTTTTTACAACTAAATTAGGCCGCACACTCCGCGCGCGTATGTCCTCCCCATGGGGCATGTGTGCCAATTGTAGTGAATAATCTTATATCAGATTTTTAAAGTCAATATCAAAGTTTCGGAAGGAAAAGTTTCAGGAATGTATTCAATTTTTTTATATATAATACATCCAGTGTGACTTTTTTGAAGCCAATCTATTCGGCATATTGTGTCATTAGATTTTTTATAAATGATGATAGCATACATTAAAGATATTACGATAATTCTATACTATATTATATATACTATGTGTAATGTACAATATATAATAGAGTACTATATATATTATCAAATATAATGTGCATAATAAAAAAAATGAAATAATAAACTGATAATAATAATATACATAATGTATTATAATATAGTATAGAATATAATATAATAAAGTATTGTCGTAATATCTTTGATGTATACTATCATCATTTATGAAAAATCTAATGACACAATACGCCGAATAGATTGGCTTCAAAAAAGTTACACTGAATTTTTTATTAAAGGATTTTCCTTTTACCAATCTTGATTATTATATGATAAATTCAGTTCCTTACACATTGTCATTTTCCGGCGCAAATTACTGAGGAGACCCCTTAAAATAAAGCTTATTTTTGTTCAGTGAAATTCAATCGAAATCCATCAGAACTTTGCTTTTTCTGTGAAATTATTTCGTGCGTGTACTGGAGAGGATTAAAGAATTGGATTAAATGTTTGGTTCGTTCGATTTATTTTTTAGTAATTCATTATATACAGACGCTCGATCGGGCATGCCTCCCAGTCGCTCAACATTTTCCATTATTAAATTATATTAATGTAATCACGCACACTGTTTATCATTTTGTTTTCCATTTTCAGGGGAAAAGTGAAAAACAGAAAAGCCCGTCTGGTTGACTCTTTTTGTTCAATCGGTAGATCCAGTTGATTTTTCACGTGTTGTTAAATATGAATGTACCTCGATAATTAAACGGGAGATGTCAAGAGACATTTTCTAATAAAATCGTTTGTTTTTCGAGATAAATTCACGATTGATGAAGATTTTAAAATCGACCTATTCACGCTTTGGTGAAGAACCAGTTCTTGTATTCGTCTGAATGCCTTCAACTTTCGTATTTATGTCACTGTGATCTTCTGTTAACTGTGGAATTTTTATACAAATCGCATTTATTGCACTTGAATAAATTTTTTCATTGTGCAGGCAGTATATATTACGAAATTCTTCAATCAATATTACCTTTTCTTTCCTAATTATTCATTTTTATGAATTAGAAGATAGAAAATTCTCGATCATACCAAAAATTGAAATTGAATAATTTTTAGGAGCTTCAATCACTGTGGAAGGTGGTAACAAAACAACGGAAATTTTTCCATTCACAATATCGACTGGAGGACTAGCGAATTTTCAATATTCATGATGAAG